TACCATTCGAATCTTCATTAAATATAGTATCTAATATACCAAGACGAACTATACCCTATTAATATACAGTAAGTTATTTATGGATTAATAATTTTGTGTTATTTTTTTTGACTGATATATTCAAAGTGGATTTGCCCAATGAAGTAATCATCGCGAATTGGGTTACGATATACCATTCGAATCTTCATTAAATATAGTATCTAATATACCAAGACGAACTATACCCTATTAATATACAGTAAGTTATTCATGGATTAATAATTTTGTGTTATTTTTTTTGACTGATATTTTCAAAGTGGATTTGCCCAATGAAGTAATCATCGCGAATTGGGTTACGATATACCATTCGAATCTTCATTAAATATAGTATCTAATATACCAAGACGAACTATACCCTATTAATATACAGTAAGTTATTCATGGATTAATAATTTTGTGTTATTTTTTTTGACTGATATTTTCAAAGTGGATTTGCCCGATGAAGTAATCATCGAATTGGGTTACGATATACCATTCGAATCTCCATTGAATATAGTATCTAATATACCAAGACGAACTATACCCTATTAATATACAGTAAGTTATTTATGGATTAATAATTTTGTGTTATTTTTTTTTGACTAATATTTTCAAAGTGGATTTGCCCGATGAAGTAATCATCGAATTGGGTTACGATATACCATTCGAATCTCCATTAAATATAGTATCTAATATACCAAGACGAACTATACCCTATTAATATACAGTAAGTTATTTATGGATTAATAATTTTGTGTTATTTTTTTGACTAATATTTTCAAAGTGGATTTGCCCGATGAAGTAATCATCGCGAATTGGGTTACGATATACCATTCGAATCTCCATTAAATATAGTATCTAATATACCAAGACGAACTATACCCTATTAATATACAGTAAGTTATTCATGGATTAATAATTTTGTGTTATTTTTTTTGACTGATATATTCAAAGTGGATTTGCCCAATGAAGTAATCATCGCGAATTGGGTTACGATATACCATTCGAATCTTCATTAAATATAGTATCTAATATACCAAGACGAACTATACCCTATTAATATACAGTAAGTTATTCATGGATTAATAATTTTGTGTTATTTTTTTTGACTGATATTTTCAAAGTGGATTTGCCCAATGAAGTAATCATCGCGAATTGGGTTACGATATACCATTCGAATCTTCATTAAATATAGTATCTAATATACCAAGACGAACTATACCCTATTAATATACAGTAAGTTATTCATGGATTAATAATTTTGTGTTATTTTTTTTGACTGATATTTTCAAAGTGGATTTGCCCGATGAAGTAATCATCGAATTGGGTTACGATATACCATTCGAATCTCCATTGAATATAGTATCTAATATACCAAGACGAACTATACCCTATTAATATACAGTAAGTTATTTATGGATTAATAATTTTGTGTTATTTTTTTTGACTAATATTTTCAAAGTGGATTTGCCCGATGAAGTAATCATCGAATTGGGTTACGATATACCATTCGAATCTCCATTAAATATAGTATCTAATATACCAAGACGAACTATACCCTATTAATATACAGTAAGTTATTTATGGATTAATAATTTTGTGTTATTTTTTTGACTAATATTTTCAAAGTGGATTTGCCCGATGAAGTAATCATCGCGAATTGGGTTACGATATACCATTCGAATCTCCATTAAATATAGTATCTAATATACCAAGACGAACTATACCCTATTAATATACAGTAAGTTATTTATGGATTAATAATTTTGGGTTATTTTTTTTTGACTGATATTTTCAAAGTGGATTTGCCCGATGAAGTAATCATCGCGAATTGGGTTACGATATACCATTCGAATCTCCATTAAATATAGTATCTAATATACCAAGACGAACTATACCCTATTAATATACAGTAAGTTATTTATGGATTAATAATTTTGTGTTATTTTTTTTGACTGATATTTTCAAAGTGGATTTGCCCAATGAAGTAATCATCGCGAATTGGGTTACGATATACCATTCGAATCTCCATTAAATTTAGTATCTAATTTACCAAGACGAACTATACCCTATTAATATACAGTAAGTTATTTATGGATTAATAATTTTGTGTTATTTTTTTTGACTAATATTTCAAAGTGGATTTGCCCGATGAAGTAATCATCGCGAATAGGGTTACGATATACCATTCGAATCTCCATTAAATATAGTATCTAATATACCAAGACGAACTATACCCTATTAATATACAGTAAGTTATTTATGGATTAATAATTTTGTGTTATTTTTTTGACTAATATTTTCAAAGTGGATTTGCCCGATGAAGTAATCATCGCGAATTGGGTTACGATATACCATTCGAATCTCCATTAAATATAGTATCTAATATACCAAGACGAACTATACCCTATTAATATACAGTAAGTTATTTATGGATTAATAATTTTGTGTTATTTTTTTTGACTAATATTTCAAAGTGGATTTGCCCGATGAAGTAATCATCGCGAATTGGGTTACGATATACCATTCGAATCTGCATTAAATATAGTATCTAATATACCAAGACGAACTATACCCTATTAATATACAGTAAGTTATTTATGGATTAATAATTTTGTGTTATTTTTTTTGACTAATATTTTCAAAGTGGATTTGCCCGATGAAGTAATCATCGCGAATTGGGTTACGATATACCATTCGAATCTCCATTAAATATAGTATCTAATATACCAAGACGAACTATACCCTATTAATATACAGTAAGTTATTTATGGATTAATAATTTTGGGTTATTTTTTTTTGACTGATATTTTCAAAGTGGATTTGCCCGATGAAGTAATCATCGCGAATTGGGTTACGATATACCATTCGAATCTCCATTAAATATAGTATCTAATATACCAAGACGAACTATACCCTATTAATATACAGTAAGTTATTTATGGATTAATAATTTTGTGTTATTTTTTTTGACTAATATTTTCAAAGTGGATTTGCCCGATGAAGTAATCATCGCGAATTGGGTTACGATATACCATTCGAATCTCCATTAAATATAGTATCTAATATACCAAGACGAACTATACCCTATTAATATACAGTAAGTTATTTATGGATTAATAATTTTGTGTTATTTTTTTTGACTAATATTTTCAAAGTGGATTTGCCCAATGAAGTAATCATCGCGAATTGGGTTACGATATACCGTTCGAATCATCATTAAATATAGTATCAATATACCAAGAAGAACTATACCCTATTAATATACAGTAAGTTATTTATGGATTAATAATTTTGTGGTATTTTTTTTCACTAAAATTTACAAAGTGGATTTGCCCAATGAAGTAATCATCGCGAATTGGGTTACGATATACCGTTCGAATCATCATTAAATATAGTATCTAATATACCAAGAAGAACTATACCCTATTAATATACAGTAAGTTATTTATGGATTAATAATTTTGTGGTATTTTTTTTCACTAAAATTTACAAAGTGATTTGCCCAATGAAGTAATCATCGCGAATTGGGTTACGATATACCGTTCGAATCATCATTAAATATAGTATCTAATATACCAAGAAGAACTATAGCCTATTAATATACAGTAAGTTATTTATGGATTAATAATTTTGTGGTATTTTTTTTCACTAAAATTTACAAAGTGATTTGCCCAATGAAGTAATCATCGCGAATTGGGTTACGATATTCCGTTCGAATCATCATTAAATATAGTATCTAATATACCAAGAAGAACTATACCCTATTAATATACAGTAAGTTATTTATGGATTAATAAGTGTTATTTTTTTTTTGACTGATATTTTCAAAGTGGATTTGCCCGATGAATTAATCATCGCGAATTGGGTTACGATATACCATTCGAATCTCCATTAAATATAGTATCTAATATACCAAGACGAACTATACCCTATTAATATACATTAAGTTATTTATGGATTAATAAGTGTTATTTTTTTTTTGACTGATATATTCAAAGTGGATTTGCCCGATGAATTAATCATCGCGAATTGGGTTACGATATACCATTCGAATCTCCATTAAATATAGTATCTAATATACCAAGACGAACTATACCCTATTAATATACATTAAGTTATTTATGGATTAATAAGTGTTATTTTTTTTTGACTGATATTTTCAAAGTGGATTTGCCCGATGAATTAATCATCGCGAATTGGGTTACGATATACCATTCGAATCTCCATTAAATATAGTATCTAATATACCAAGACGAACTATACCCTATTAATATACAGTAAGTTATTTATGGATTAATAATTTTGGGTTATTTTTTTTGACTGATATTTTCAAAGTGGATTTGCCCGATGAATTAATCATCGCGAATTGGGTTACGATATACCATTCGAATCTCCATTAAATATAGTATCTAATATACCAAGACGAACTATACCCTATTAATATACAGTAAGTTATTTATATACCGTAATTTATTATAGTGGAGATTATATTTAATGGAGATTATATCTTATAGTGGAGATTATATGTATTTAATCTCACATAATTATGTATTTCTTTTTCTATAGGAATCATTAACGCATTTTGTAACCAATCAGCTGTGTAGTTATAAGTAAATCCAGAAGAAATACTTGAATGGCCCAAGTTAATATTTTCAAAATATTTAATACGTTTTTCACCTCCCATATCAAGCAAATCAACATAATGTGATATTAAAAAGTAGAAGAAGAGAATCATGCGTAATTCTGTTGATAAACAACCGAATTTTAAATATTCCTAAAATTAATATCATAAATTAATATTAATAATATTAACGGATCTTTGTATTATGGGTGTTTAGAATCATATTTGACCTAGCAAAATTGCTATGCATCCGGGTGTTTGGAGCTAGGGGTTTTCCGTGGTTCTCAACAAAATTTACATATGGAAGTGATTTAGAAAGAACCGTTCATAACTGGATTTGATCTCACTCCAACGAAAATTATAGATTTGAAATAAGATCGGAATTAAGCAAAACATAGCAGAAAATAACCTCAGTTTTATTTCTTATAGCTTCTAGATCAATTTTTATTGGTTGATTTAATAAAGTAAATTCTGAAAAATTCAATCTCCTCATAAACACTCCCAAGTCTTTAAAAATCTTTTTATAATATTCTTCAAAATTTTCATTGACATTCATATAATATTCTTCCAAACTCATTTCATTACGAAGATTATTCGAAAATTTTCGGTCAGATTCTATAAAGTTTTAAAGGATTAAAGCATTTCAGATTTAGTAGTTTATAGCAAGGAAGGTTTTGGTTTTCTCTTGTTAAAAAAAATCAAAAAAATCGTTGATTTTTTATTTTTAAATAATTACCATCAATTTCCATTTTCAAAAGTATTTTTACTAAAATTCCCGCAATTTTTTTGTAACCGTAGTTTTAAATTTTCTTTCACCATATTTACCATATTCCAAATCTTTAATTATTCTCATCAAATGTAAAGCCTTATCTTTTGATTGCTCCCAGGGCAACTCATTTTCCTCGTCAATTGGGACCAACTGGCTCAATAACCCTTCAATAATTTTTAGCAATCTAAATTCTGTTAATTCATTTACTTGCTGACTTTTAGCATTTAATTTTTTATAATTCGTATAAAGGTTAATATTGTTCAGAATTTTTCCTGAAAGATCCCCTTTGTCCTCTTTGTCAATTAATGCCGTTCGCGCATTAGTCACTATATGACGCAAGAGACTGAATTTTACAGTACTAGATTTTTTCCAAATACATAAGAAAAGAGCAATTCGGAATCGAAAAACAATTGGGACGTTTAATGGATTTTTAAATTCAATTTCCATTTTTTGAATAAATTCTTTAGCATTTGTAGAAGACAAATGATCAAGAATTGTTGGGATATGTACAGAAATGGAAATATTTAAATAGAAAATTAAATAAATTAAAATAAATTTCCAATTCATCTAAAATTAATTTTTCAAAAAATTAAAGCGATTTTAAAATTAAAATAAATAAAATTATAAGTAAAAATAAGTTAATTGTACTTTTACCGCTTACTATAAAGCTTTTTAGCTTCACATGAATTCACGTGAAATAAAAAAAATAAAGTAACCTTCGAAATAATATTTCATAAACGCCGACAAAAAGAAATTCTAAAGTGCATAGACATTTAATAATTTTGAAATTTTTAGCTAAAAATAATTGCTTTTTGTTGCGATTTCTGCAATTATAATTTAAAAAAAATAACAAACAGTTGAAAATACCCTAGAATTATTTAAGACTAAAAATATTACTGAAATTAAACATTGAAAAGAAAAAATGAAAATCATAAAAGAATTTTAAGCACTTATAATTTAAATTTAAATAACACAATGTTCTCTAAGCTAGAGTAGGTCGAGGTCTTGAAACCACGGTCTCGACCTCGGGTCTCGAAACCTCGTCTCATTCTTCGCTAAGAACCTCGACTAGAACCTCGGCCTAAATTTGCCCCTCTATCTCGATCTTGGTTTTACCAACCTCGGTGATCCTCTGTCTTGGTTTTTTCAAAAAACCTCGATCTATCCTAATTTTATTAAAAAATAAGGTGATTTTTAAATTAATAAAAAGGTATTGATAAGAAATTTAAAAAAATTAAAAAAGAAGAATCAAACATTGAATAATAGAACAAAATTTATAAATATAAATTACATACTTTATTAAAGAATTATTTAAAAAAATTTTTTATTTCTAGAAATGCAGATTTATTTTATTAAAGGAATATTCAATGAAATATTAACTTCAATTAATCCAAAGAATTTGTTATTTTCATCATTAACAGCATTATCTTTTTCATTATTTTTTAATTTAAATTTATTTAATATTTTATTTATTGTGTTTTTATTAATTTTGTTATCCTCCAAATTTGTTAGAATATGTTTAATGACATTGAGGAGGGATATAAAGTATCATTTCTTAAATCAAATCAAGGCTATCATAAAATGGCGGGATGACAGATCCGGATATACTGATCCGCCAACCTTAGTCGCAAACTTGTTATAATTTAATTAATTATGGATTGTTATGCCCAAAATTCGGATTTTGGGTGTTGCAATAATCAAACCAAGATATTTTTGCTCTATCCTAGTTTATCCGTCCAATGAGCATTTATGAGCTCAATGATAAGTTTATGAGTCCAATGGAAATTTTTGAGGCTTTGAATGAAAATTAATTAAAAATTTGGCAATGGGATAATAGGACAGATATTTTATAATAACAATTCGAATTTAATTAAAAAAATTCATATTTAGTGGCTACTTTCGCCTCAAAAAATTGCAAAATAAAATGGAAAAACAATGGAAATGTAACATACCTATCGGAAATATTTTTGAAAATACAGTTAATAGACATCCCGAAAAGGATTGTATAGTAGAAGCTGAAAGTGGGAGAAAAATTTCTTTTAAAGAATTGGATGAATTGGCTAATAAATTTGGAAATTATTTCAATGAGAAGGTTAAAAAATAAATTTAAATAGCTGACATTTAAAATTTCAAGTTAACAATTGATGATAATTCTTTAAATATTTCGTCTGATACAATTGGAATTTTATTAGAAAATTGTATAGAATTTGTAGCTGTATGGCTAGGTTTAAGCAAAATTGGAGTAATTACTAGCTGGATTAACACACAATTGAGAGGACAATCGCTGTCTCATTCAATTAATATAGTTAATTGTAAAGCGATTATTACTTCAGAAATACATGTTGGGGGTAATTTTATCAGCTTTGGAAATTGGAAATTATAATAAATTAAAGCAAATCTCAGTTTTAGATATCCCTTAAGGTCTGAAAAAATCCTAACTAAAAATGAGGGGTATCTACAAAAGGGTGTACATCAGAGAGGGGCCCAGCCGTGTTTTAAGCGGCAAAAAAATATTTTAAATTTGACTATTTTATTTTAATTTATCAATTATTTTAAAGAATTAAAGAATGCAATAAATACTGGATTACTAAATTCTAACATTAAAATTTTTATAATTAATAATAATAATGATATAAACATTAAAGAAGATTACAACTTTATTTTAATAAATAATAAAGAATTAAACAACAAATCAAGGCTTATTACAAATAAGGAAGTTGGATTTCAAAGTAATTTATAGACAACTTTAAAGAGTATTCAAAAATTTCCATAGATATTCTTGCATATTTATACACTAGCGGCACAACAGGACAACCCAAGGCTGTGATTATTAGACATTATCGTTACTATTTTATGGGTATAGCCGGCCCTATAGTTTTTGATATAAACTCGAATGATATTTTATATATAACTTTACCTATGTATCATGGAATGGCTGGAATTGCTGGAGTTGGACAGATGATAGTTAATGGTATAACTCTTAATTTAGGAGGAGGTCAGGGCTGAAGGTCGATATACCTAATAGAAGAGATCTGGATTGACTGTTCTGTTCGGGTTCGGATATCCGAAGATATCTTTCATGGACAAGAAACTAAAATTTAATTGAATTTAATATTTAATAGGCTGTACAATTGTAATACGTCAAAAATTCTCTGCATCCCATTTTTGGAATGATTGTCAAAAATTTAATTGTACAATAGCTATTTATATTGGAGAAATTTGTCGTTATCTTATCACACAACCAAAAAATTCTAAGGTCGATAAAAATCACAAAATAAGAATGTTTTGTGGACTTGGACTACGTCCAACGATTTGGGAAGAATTTACAGAAAGATTTGGAATTGGAAAAATAGCTGAATTATATGGTAATATTTTTATAGCAAAAAGTAATATTTAAAAAATTTTAAATAGGAGCAACAGAAGGAAATGCAACTTGTGTAAATATAGACAATAAAGTTGGGGTTATTGGGTTTTTGCCAGTTTATACTTATTTTATGAAAACAACGTCTATTAGGATTGTTAAGGTATTTTGAATATTTTTATCAGATAATAAAACTAAAAATTTGATTTCGGACCTTATTATACATATTATATGATACACAATTAGATAGTAAAATAGTGGGGGATATATTCCATCTTCAGCTACTTCCGAATTTCCTAACCCTTTCCGATTCGACTTCTATTTTCTTCCGTATTTATCGCCTTCCGCGTTTTAAAATACAATAGGGCCCATCCCGAATAGTACCTCAGAATGTGCATTGTTATGGTGATTCTATGAGGATTAGCAATACTTAACTTTAAAATTATTTTTCATTTTCCTTAAATAAATTAAAAGGTAGACCCAATATCACGTGAATATCTGAGAAGACCAAACGGTTTTTGCCAAATTTGCAAACCTGGCGAGACTGGGGAAATTGTTGGAATGATAAGAAAAGACAACCCAACACGTCGATTTGAAGGTTATCTAGACAGGCAGGAAACTGATAAGAAAATTATAAAAAATGTGGAGGTTGAAGGGGATTGTGCTTTTGCCAGTGGGGATTTAATATATTGGGATACTCATGGATATTTGCATTTTAAGGTAACTTAAAGGGCAAAAAATTTTTTTCAAAAGTTTAAAGGACCGTCTAGGCGATACATTTCGTTGTTGTGGAGAGAATGTAAGCACAACAGAAGTAGAAAATGTACTTCAAGGAATTAAAGGAATAGAAGAGCTGGCTGTATATGGAATTGAAATGAATGGAAAGGAGGGTAAACATGGAGTGTGTTCTATAGTTTTGAATAAATTTGTGGAGGATAATGTAAAAAATTTGTTTAATTCTAGACATAAAAATAAAAATTTCAGCAAATAATTGACCAAATTGGAAGGAAATTTAAAGAAAATTTGCCAGAATATGCAATTCCAAAATTTATTAAATATTGTGAGGGGCTTGAAAAGACTGGCACATTTAAACTTAGAAAAGGTGAAATGAGAAGAAATGATTTATTAAATACAAGAAATAATTTGTTTGTTTGGAATCGAAGTTTAAGAAAATATATGGAATTTAATTAATATTTTTTCAAAAGTGATTAGTGATTTTTTAAATAAATTCTGAGAATTATTAAAAAGTTTTTTAATAAGATATTGCTAAGTAGCTCGATATAATAGATTTCATCTAAGGGGATTTTAGTTATTCAAAGGAGAATTAAACTACAGACATGGTCATTGTTACGGATATGGATACAGATAATACCAAAATGCCTGCGGATATCCGCCTGTATCCTTCTGTATCCGCCGTAAATATCCGGATACGGATACCAAAATCCGTATCCGTGTCCTAGTCTAAAAACTACTAGGTATACATATCTAAAAAAGTGCTACATAGATTTTTAAAGATACTTGTTTTTACATTGAAATTTTTGAGCCTTCCCGAATCAATGAAACAGAACTTCTACGTCTGATCTATTTCTCATTCGAAATTACTTGAAAATTATTTTTCCGATAATTATCTAAAGTTTTTTAATATTTATTAATGAAAATATATTCATAAATTTCTATTACTAAGTTTCTTTTCTTCAGAAAATTTATATAGATTTGAATTCATCAAACAATTAAATCTTCGATATATTAGTGCCACCATTCAGGTTCTCCGGGTGTTAAATGTGTTGGATGTATATGTGCTAACCTTAAATATTTCTATATAAACTAATGTTATTTTTAGTGATTAGATTTGGAGGAATAGAACCATCATAAAAAGACACCAAGTAATCATAACTAAAGGCCGAACTGGGAGTGTCGTACGAAATGGGAGTGTCGTCGAATAGATTTTGATCGAGATCTCGTTTCGGTCCGGTCTATAATCACACCTAGTCCAAGCAATCCTATTATGTGTTAATTTTAATTAATTTTAAGTTTTTGCATCTACGGACCCAAAATTTTAATTATATGTAAAATTACTAACCAAGGGGTTTTGTAAACATCATGAGGTGGGTAACGACTGTGCGGAATATGATAAGTTCCTCCAAGTACTTCACTGTATTTGTAGTGAGGAGAATGCCAATGACGCGCAAACAAAGGGCGATAATCCAATTGTTGCCCATAAGCTCCGTATCCATGGTAGCTTCCATACATTTTTATTTATTTTTTAATTCGAAGGAATTTAAACGAACACAGCTATTTTTATTTATTTTTAAAGTGATCTTTCTTAAATAAATTTGTGTTCGATCGAAAAAAAAGCACCTAACAACTGTTGTTAAAATTTAAAAATAAAGTTTAGAGTTATATGAACGATTATTTTTCTTTTTATTTTTTCTTGAAATTAAAAAATAAAATTTAATTTTTGGTTAATTAATCACAAATTTATCCAAAAATAATATTAAAAATAATTTTAAAAAATTTCAAAAAATCTTCATTAACATAGATGACATATTAATCCACACGTATCACGCCTAGTCTGTTCCGGGTAAAACAAATTATCGCAATAGCCGTTAGCTGCCCAAAAGACACAACTTTTAAAATAATTTTTAATAAAATTAACAAAATTATTATTTTATACTTTGGATGTCGATTAATACAATTGAGGTTATACCCAGCATTTCGGCACGTTTCAGGACAATTATCTTTCATTAACTGTTGATACATCTATTAAAATTTTATAAATTGCGTTGCTAGGAGGTTGAGATTTTTGAAATAACATAGAAATTAGAGATCGGCCAAAGGGCTCGTTCGATATAAAAACATCGAAAAAAATCGTATCAAACCGAACTCTAGTAGAAATAGCTGGATGTTATCGTTATTAGTGCCAGATTCTATCAAAAATTTGGACGTAAACTTACATTATTGGCACATAATTCACGATGTAATTCACAATTTCTTCCTCGATTATATCCAATACCTTAAATTAAAATCAAGATCTAATCTAAATTTTTAATTCATTCTAGAGTAAATTACAAAACTAATTGTAATTTTAAATTTTAAAATAATATTATGTGGTTTTTACTAAAATTATTAAAAATCAGATACAGAATAATATAATAAAAATATACTATTAGAAATTAATGATGCAGAAAAATTCCTAAAATTTTTTAAAAATAAAATGGTTAAATAGAAATAATTTATTTTATTATCTCTTATTTTTGCCAAAATTATATAAAATTTATTTTATGATTTTTCTCTTTATTTATATAATTTAAACAATTATTTTACCTCTAGTAGTAGTCATGTTATAGCTCCGAGTTGTACTATAAGGTATTGGAGTGACAATCAAACTTGGATCTGAAGTAGGCAACAAACAAACACCCGATTTTTGATCGGAAGTTTTATATTTGGCACAAGTTTCTTTGGAAGAGCCGGTACTTCCTTGAAGGCAATCCTGGTCCTTGTCACATATTGCTAGAATTATTTAATTTATTTTGAATTTAAAATTAATGTCAGACCCCGACCCCGCTCTTAAACTTTTTTCCTCAATTATCTCCGACCCGTACACCGCCCTGAAACAATTTGACAACCTCAATATCCGCGCACGAGCGCTAAGGGTACAAAAGATACACAGCACTCAGGGTACCCTAATTCAAAATTAAAAACAGACCAAAAGATCCAACCCTTTGTGTCGTTACGCATTTATTATTAGCACACAAAGTTGATGGTAAACAATCAGAATGTTTATCGCATGCAGAACCGGAAGGTTCTAAAATTCGGAAAAATAAAAATATATTTAATTCGACTAGTTTAATCACTTCTCTGGGGGAATTCATCAACACATAAACCATTTCGGCACTCGAGTCCATTACAATCCGTGTTGGTTCTGCATGAGGGTGGTGGGCATCCATACAAATTATTTCTGTCACAGCTTGACTTTAAAATAATTTAAAAATATTTTGAAAAGATATTCAATTATTCACATGGCTGGGATCTGCACATTCGCCGTTAATACATGCTAAAATTGAGTAATTTTAAGGTTACTTTTTATTATTAGGATCCCAAAATTTATAAATCCCAAAATTTTGTGAAGGAATTATTGGTTAGGTATTCTGTGAGAAAAATTCAGAGAGAAATTCAGGGAGGTATTCAGAGGGAAACATCAAGCATTAAATCTTTTCATATTTTTTAATAAATTTATTTAATTTTTATTTTTTATTTAAATTTGGTAAATTAATTTCCTTATATTTTTTAATGTTTAAACTTTTTTCAATATTTTTTAAAAAATATTTTATTAAAATTTAACATTAAATAAATGTTAATTATATGTTATTTTTAAATTAAAATATTTTTCAATAAATAATTATTATGTGTTGCTTTTCTTATTATTTAATTAAAAAAATATTTTTAACGTAACAATTTACTGAAATTTTTTTGTTCATTTAATTTCAAAAAACTAATAATTATAGCTTATTTTTTATTGAAAAATAAACAAAAATTACTAAATAATAATTTAGTGAATAAATAATTTTTTGATATTAATTTTCTATAAAATTAAATTTATAATTAAGTAAAAAATTTATCAAATGTAAATTTATTTTTTAAGGTTAATAATTTCTGATTTTCCATAAATCAGTTTATAAATCTTTAATTTAATTTCTGGTTTAATTTTCCAATTTTTTATTTCAATTTTGCGAGATCTTTGAATTTTATTTTAAATTTTATTTCAAAATAAATAATTGAGTATTAAACATCAGTTCTAATTTAATTTTTGTTAATGTATCAAAATTTGTTTATTTCACCCCCTATTTAATTATTAGTTTTATAATTTTTATTTTTTGACAAAAAATATTTTTTTTAAATTTTTTAAGTTTTAAAAATTTTCTTACGCCAAGTTCTGTCCATTTCCACCAATTTTGGAGTAGACACAATTAAAATAAATAAAATAATAATAAATATAATACTAGCCATTTTATTAATTATTAATTAATTTTTAATTAAATAAGCAAACTACGTTTAAAAAATTTTTCTAACAAATTTAATTATTTTTTTAAATAACAAAAATTAAAATAAAATGCAATATTGAACAAATTAGTTAATATTTTTAAATTTGATCTTTTCATGGGTTAATTTATTTAAAAATTAAAAAAAATTTTTTTTATAAAATTATAATTTTAAAATATATAAATATAAAATTATATGAATAAATCTACATAAAATGTCAATAATTTTTTTTCAATAAAAATAATTTTTTAAAATACCTGGAATTTATTTTAAATAAAATTTTTTCAATTTTAAGCATATAAAATGTCAATTACTTTTTTCAAATTTTAAACACCTGCCTAAAACTCTTTTTAGAATTTTTATTTTAATTATTTTTATTTACCCCTCAATTTTGTCTACTTTTTAAATTTAAAAATTTAAAAGTGTTGAATGTTTTTCTCAATTTTTTATTTATTTACTTTTCTATTTTTAAAGGTGAAAATGACAAAAATAAATAAAAAGTGCAAGCAAATAATTAATTTAAATTTAGAAATAAAAAATAATTTTTTTAATAAAAATAAACTTCTTTTTAAAGGATAGATTTAATTTTAGAATATATATTCGGATCAGGGCTGATCGAAATAAAAATTTTATTTTTTTCAAAACGAAACAAAATAGAAAAAAAGGAAAGTCTTCCCCTTTACTTCGATATCTCCAAACGTGTATTATACTCCCACCTTAACTAAAGTTATTTTTTAGAGCGCAAGGTTACGTAAAAATGAAATCAAGATATAGTAATTAATTCCTATAATCCTACAATTTCCATATATTTAATTCAACTTCCAAGTATTAAAAGTCTAGAATTATTTATAGAAAATCTGATACCCAGTAATTGAATTATCATTATCCAATCTAGACAGTTCAGTATTTATGGAAGTTCAATTTTATATTTTAAATTTAATTTCCTATATATAAAATTATTAATTTATAATTACTATTAAATAGCTAGACTTCTTTTAAGGCGGTAGTATTAGGGTGTAACATAAATAATTAGCCCCCTTGAGCAAAGTTAAATAAATATTTATTAAAATTAAAATAAATATTTTCAGTCTTCGAATTATATTTTTCTATGATCCTAAGAGAGTTGCCTATTTTCTTGCAAAAAATCGGAATCTTAGTATTAGGTTGGCCGGAGTTAGAGGTAAAATAATAACCCTTGTATTTTTGAAAGAAGGCAACTTCTTTTTGATTTTCCTCTGCTAAATTGATGACTAGAATGAAAATTTAAATAGATTCTGATAGAGCAGAATCTGTTGAATACAATGATATAAAAAATTCCCCTGGAAAACAACGAGCTGATTTTTTAGAGGGTCGGTTTTGTGAAATAGGGGCTAGCATTATGCTTTTATGAGATAACCTGTGGAATAGGAGATAACATCCTCATACTTCGCTATGCACATTTTGCGGCATGATTCCTTTTCCGAATGTCCAAGTTCAATCTCATATTTGAACTGGACGCTAATTTCATAATTTTGCCTTAAACTTTAAAAATTCATAAAAAATTTTTAAATGAAGAAAAAATTTCAAATCTTTCAGAAAATGAAGAAGGCATTATTGTGAATATATGACAAAAAAATTAAACAGATTGGAGATCTGAACATTGAGATATACATTTTCAAACTTTAATGATTTAAGGGGGGCTAATTATTTATGTTACACCCTAATAAATTAATTTTTATTTGTTTCTAAGAAATTTTTTTAGTTAAATAAAATTAAAATTTAAGTTAATTTTTTATACCTCAAAGTAAAATATGTATTGTTAATTCTATGAAATTTTGTGGTTCAAAAGAAATTTTGTTCCCCCCTCCCCTCCCCCGCCCCAATAAATAATTTAATTAAATATCTTTAGCTTCTGAAATCTAATATAGTAGATATTTTTTCTTGAATTTGGAAGTAAAAAATTTATCACCTGTTATTTTTGTTGCAAAAATGGGAAACTAATTCTCTACCGAAAAATTTTTTAATTAAAAATCTCTTTCCAATATTCATTATTTCCGCAAAAAATTAAATTTCCTTAAAACCTAAATAATTTGATAATCTTTGAGGAGAAATTTCTAAATTTAGTTTAGTTCGTAATTAATGATTATAACTTAACTATAATTATTTTTGTAAATAAAATTTAATTAAATTTTTGTAGAAAAAATAAAAAAAAATAGATAGGTGAGGCTAATTATATTTTTCAGCTAGTTTGTATCATCCAATTTCTAATTTTTTTGTGTCAAAAAATTTTGTAGCCTTTTTTATTGTTTGACTTATTAAGAATTTATTTTTAGAATAAAGTCGACGTCTCAATTCATCCCCACTTGAAGCGTGACCCAGAAAAAATTTATTTTCGAAGGCCTTTGTTCCGAAATTCCATTAAAGGAAGTTATTGTGTCTCAACGTCTAAATCCTCCTTCCGTTTGAAACGTAAAGGCATTGGCCCAGAAAAATTTTTTTTTCGAAGGCCTTTGTTCCGAGATTCCTATAATTGAAGTTAATGTGTATTACATCACACTAAACAAAAATTAAATATTTTAAATTTTTTTGATATTCCTTCTAATTTCTAAATTTATTTCCCATCAAAGTACGAAAATAATAAAAATTTTATTTTATACCAAGTATAATTTTTTTAATTTTGCGCAGAATATATTTTTAATATTCTCAAGTCATGCACAAATATATTTTTTTGTTAAGTAAAAAAATAAAAAAAAATAAAATAAATTAAAAAAAACTTTTAAAAATACAAAAATTAAAAATAAATTCTGCGAATATAATTAATTTTTTTTTAATTTTTTCAAAATTCCCACCAACTTTAAAAATAGTTCTTTTAATGCTCATTATAAAAATAAATTTTGAGAGCTTAATGAGAACACTTTTAAATTTTATTTTTTAATTTTTAATAGTCAGAAGGGGAGTACAGTAATTTTTAAAGGAATTTTCTAAAAATTTTTCTTGATTTTTTAATTTTTTGAATTTTTAAATTTTTTCCAAGGCTAATTTTGGGTTGTAAATTAATGAATTATTTTAGTTAGAAAATTTAATTTTACTAATATAATTATAAATTTACCTAGAAAAATTTTTTTACTGAAATTAATTTATTTCCTGTTATATTAAATATTTCTATAAATTTTTGTAATAAAATTTTATTTATATTATAACACGTAAATAATTAAATTATCTACTATTTAGAAATATAATTCAGAACGGTATAAATATGGCAAATAATATGAACGGCATAGAATTCCCTCCCAACGATCCAAATATGAACTACAATGTAACTACGAATAATGTAAAATTTTTTAAATTATTTTTAGAATTTTTGAAAAATAAGCTTAAAAATAGTAGCTTGAATATTAAAAATTAACGAAAATTAAAAAAATATTTTTTAAAGTTCTACCTAACATTTTGGAAAAACGGAATACCAACATTATTCATAATAATTGTGGGTATTCGCTGGTTTATTGCCATGATTGGATTTTTTACAAATTTGTTACTTTTTTGGGTTTTTGCTGTTAATAGGTAGTAAAATAATTTTTGCCAAAAATATCAATAATTTTAGAAAAACATTCCAAGGAACTTGTCATATATTAATTGCCACAAATGCATTAACTACATCCCTGTTTGAACTCTCATTAACTATCGGGTTTATAATGCAATTAATTGGAATACCTTTTGTTAATATACGGTTATGTTTAGCTATACAAGTAAATTAATTAAAAATTCATAGTATCCATCTTTAGAGTACACATAGAGCTTGGCAATCTCCCTTCCCAACTTCCAGATTTCCGATATTTCCCTTAGTATTTCGTTCCTCATCTTCGTTTCCCGGCTTTCTTGTTTGTCAGATTTTACACAATATTTGTATCTTAACTGTGGCCAATTGAAATGTTAAAATCATTCTTACTCCGATTGTCTGGATGTGTCTTATACTGAGATAATTTGATTAAAAATATTTTCTAAAAAATTTTAATTAGGCCGTTCCAATATTTCTTCGGAATTTTATCATCTCCTCGTTATGTGTAATTGCTTTGGATCGTCTTGTGAGCACAGCTTTTATCCCATGGTAAATGAGATTATTTATTTGATATTATAATAATAAATTATGTTAATTATATGATAATTATAATTTAATTATGATAATTATAATTTAATTATACATAATAATAATATCATAATTATTTAATTATTTAAAGGCACCTCAAGAATGGAGAGACGAAAAGATATCGAATAACTCTCTTTTCATTTTGCTTTATCCATGCCGGATTTTTCATTGCTGCTACATTATACACTTCGCTTCAGATGCCAGAGCTGTAAGTTTCATGGGGAAAACTTCGACTTTATTGGAAATGAATGCTAACCGGGATTTGTATTCATTTTGGAACTAGAAAAAATTTGGATTAATTTTGGAATCGGAAAAAATCCTCAATTCCGGATAGCCCTCCAAACAGCTTTATTAAATAAAAATCTTATAAATTCACAGAAAAGACGTCTGTATATCCTCCGACGATTGCTACCAAGGCTGGCTCGAGAATGTTCTTTTTCATATAAATGTCGTCATTCTCCTGTTTGTGTTAATATTTTATATTGCTATTTGGACATTCTTGCGTATTATTCATAAAAGTAATGGTTAGCTATTTAATTAGCTAATAATTAAAATTCCTCCTTTTAGCAGCTCTTGATTGGACCAAAAGAATTATTAAATCATTAACGTTGACCGCTTTAACAATAACGGGAGGGTGGCTATCCTACAATGCTTTACAAGCTTTTGTATTGCCGGCTTTGGATAATTGGCTTAATCCCCTTCAGATTACCTATCTCTCATTTTGTTTTTCATTTCTCCCTTATATAGCTATGGCTTTAAACGCACCAATTCTTTTTATTTTCAGGCAAGTTCCGCCTCGAATAATTTTTAATAAAATTCTTATTTTAGTAAGGACTATCGCCTAGCATTTTGCAAGACTTTTGGATTCATTCCGGGAATTGAAAAATTTATTGTTCCGCTAAACCAGTCTAGCATGAAGGTCTATTCAATTTCACCAACAAAAATGATTGCGAATAACAAAATTAATCCGGCTTCAACATTAACTCCTCTTTTTGTAAAAAGAGCTTCTTTAAGGAAAGTAGGGATTTGAGAAGAATATTTGGAATATTTTTAATGATATTTATTTTTATTATTTTATTTTTTATAAATTATGTAGCAAATTATAATTAATGAAATCATCCGAAAATATTATTTTTGGAAGCTTAATTTAATAATAAAAAGTTTAGTTAGAACATGTATTTTTAGAGCCTCACCTACTCTAAAAAGCTCAATTAAAAAATAGGCAAAAAATAAGAACAAACATAAAAACAAAAATAATAATATGGGTTAAAATTTATTTGCTTCAATTTGTGAAGAACTTGAAATTTCATTTCGATTGAAACTTTTCATTTTTAAAAATTAAAATTTTAAAATTTATGTAGCTACTACATATATTTTATAATTGATACAGGTATGTTGTAGATCATGTCCGGGTATAGAAAAAAGTGGAGGCGGGCTTCGGATCGGTGCTTCAAAAATTTTTTTTAAATTTTCTGCTGTGAACTTCCTTGTCTAAAATTTTTTCTTTATTTGTCTAAAATTTTTTTTTCTATTTTTAGATTTTGAATTCTTAATTTTTAAAGAATTATTTCCGAGAAAGACAAATTCATTTCAGAATTTTTTAAATTTCACATAAAACCGGTAATGAAAAAATTCTATTTTCATAAATTTTCTCTGGCATTATTTTTGAAATTTGACTTTTGGAAAATTTTTAACATGAATGGGAAAATTTCTCGTTTTTCGTAAAAATTTTGGGACGTAATCGAATAAAAATTCAGAATAAATCTAGATTTGTTGAAATTATTTTTTAATTTTTATTCCCAGAGGTTTATTTTAAATTTTTAAAAATAAATTCTCACAGATTTTATTTTCCGAAAACCCATATTTGGCTTTCTTTGTGAGCAATATAAATGGAAAATTATATTCAATTTTCCACAATTATTCAAAAAATTTCAAAAAATTTGCCAGGTTACTCACTTTTTGCGCGGCTAAATGACAAGGTTTTGTGGTACCTTAGCGGTCTTTTTCTAAAAAGAGGTAAAAGGACGGGATCCTCGCAATTTCCCATTTTTTCTAAAGAGGTGAAAGGACGGTATCCTCGTGATCAGGGTACGTGAACCAAGTATTCCTCCTATTTATCGATGAAAATTAAATATTTCATTATGAAATCCCAGAAGCTCAAGACATAATCTCGTCCTTTACTTTAAAAATTAAATTAGAAACTAACACTAACCCTGTTGAATTTTGGAATAAGGGCTTTCATGGGTGTGTATGATCCAGGTATGACTATGAATATTGGGTTATAATTGCAATAATTATCAAATTATACTATAGATTTAGAAATAAAACTTAATAATTTTAATAATTAATAATCATAATAAAATGCAAAATATTCACGAATTTCCGTCCAACGATTCAAATTTAAATTATAACGTAACGACAAATGGCGTAAGAATTATTTTTGAATTAAAAAAAATTTTTTTTAAGTTTTACCTAACATTTTGGAAAAATGGAATACCAACATTATTTATAATAATTGTGGGTATTCGTTGGTTTATTGCTATGATTGGATTTTTTACAAATTTGTTACTTTTTTGGGTTTTTGCTGTTAATAGGTATTGGAATAATTTTTGCCAAAAATAAAAAATAATTTCAGAAAAACATTCCAAGGAACTTGTCATATATTAATTGCCACAAATGCATTAACTACATCCCTTTTTGAACTTTCTTTAACTATCGGGTTTATAATGCAGTTAATTGGAATACAATTTGTTTATATACGGATATGTTTAGCTTTACAAGTAAATTAATTAAAAATATGTTGAGACAGTCTCCGTTGCCGTACCGACACTCATTTTTAATATCCTATTTTGCCCAGCCGATTTTTAAACCTAATGTCCAGGCACCTTTTAAAATTGTCCCATAAACAGACAAATGTTTAATTCTAAGGATATCACATATGAATTCAGACAGTAATACATATTATTAAATTATTCCTAAATTTCATATAGGCCGTTCCAATATTTCTTCGGAATTTTATCATCTCCACATTATGTGTAATTGCTTTGGATCGTCTTTTGAGTACAGCATTTATCTCATGGTAATAGATTATCTATTAGATTATCTGGTTTAATTCAAAAATATTTTCAAAGGCACCTTAAAAATGGAGAGACCCTAAAATATCGTATGTCTCTCTTTGCTTTTTGCTTTATCCATGCAGGAGTATTTATTGCTGCTACTTTGTATAGTGCTTACATTATGCCAGATTTGTATGTTTAAATAATTAATTAGATAATTAAAAAAAGTTTCTTCACAATCCTTGGCTTTAAAAGGCACATCTCTCATTTGTCAGAGTATTCTCATCCTCTGGTAAAGGACATATCTCGGACCCAATTCTCCTCAATCTGGGACCGATCTCCTCTATAAATATCACAGTTCATCAATTTTATTCTTTCAGAAAAGAAGTCTGTATATCCTCCGATGATTGCTACCAAGGCTGGCTCGAGAATGTTCTCTTTCTTATAAATGTAGCTATACTTTTGCTTGTGTTAATCTTTTATATTGCTACTTGGACATTTCTTCGTATCCTACATAAAAGTAATGGTTAGTCCTCTTGACCGATAACTAAACTCCCCCCTTTTTAGCAGCTCTTGATTGGACTAAAAGAATCATTAAATCACTAACTATTATCGCTTTAACGATAACTTTAGGATGGTTTTCTTATTATGCTTTACAAGCTTTTGTAATCCCGATATGTGAAAAATGGCTTAAACCTCTCCACATTGCTTATTTAACTTTTTGTTTCTCATATCTACCGTATATTGCCATGGCTTTAAATGCTCCTATTCTTTTTAAATTCAGGCAAGTCTTAGTTAATTTAAAAATTTTTATGAAATTTCAGTAAGGACTATCGAATAGCATTTTGCAAGACTTTTGGATTCATTCCCGGAATAGACAAATTTATAGTGCCACAAAGCACCATGAAAATTGTTTCTGTATTACCAGCAAATGGATGTTCAAAAATGTATGGTTCCTCATCCTCTACCCTTTTTGTAAAAAATAATTCAGTGAAGCCATTTCAAGCTTGGAAATAAACATACTAAGTTTATAGACATTTTACACTATTATACTACAACAGTTAATACGATATTTTTAAATGATACATAATTAGAATTTTCAAAATAAATTTTTTCTTTCCTCATATTCGTTCAATTACACAATCCATTAGAAGCACATCCAGTGCTTCCACAACCATTACAAGGTTTTCCTTTTTTGTAAATAACTTGCCCAATATAATTCCCACTAAATTTTAAACTGATTTGTTTAAAATATTTAAATCTAACGGTGGATTGTATTGACAAACAGTATAGGTTTTCCAATCAGAGTTTGGGCATTTTGCTACACCACAACCAATTTCGGTAGTTTCTGCCCAAGCCATTTGTGAGAAATGATTATAATGATTCATATCAACAACTAGGCTAGATTGGAATCCATCATCTTTCAATTCTGCCCACCAGAGTTTACAAGCTTCTAAAAGAGCATCTTCTAAAATTTTAATAATGAAAATTTTTAGTATAAAATTTAATTGAATTTTAATTATTTCAAAATCACTCTATCTCGAAATTGAAATTTTAAATCTTTTTCTTATGGTTCTGCTCAGTCGGAAGTGCTTGAAATAGTAAGAGCGAGGTAAAAGTTAATCCCAGGCAGGATTCGATCCTGCGAACTTCTACTACCCTTCTGTTCTCCATCCAATTCAGAAATGCTTGGATATTTTACTAAAAACGAGGTTCTACACAACAAACTTGTAGACATGTTCGGATCACTATCCATAGCAAGATTCTCTCCGTATTTACGCTGATTGCCTGGAGTATGACTCATTTTACATTGGTTTGCCCAATTAGTAGCACTAGCTTCCACAGTTTTGGAATAAGTTAGCTTTTTAATATTCATTCCTTGGGGCATCATTCCAGTCTTGTTTTGCTCCTTTCCATTAGCTAGGGAGGCACGGAAGTTGTTATGACAATCAAGAATGGCATTTTGTTCATCAGGTGTTAAGGCATTAATTTCTATTAAATGATAATTTTATGGGAGAAGAAATTTAATTTACCTATCAGAATAACTAATAACGTGATAGCGAGTAAAAATAAATTTTGGATCATTTTATATTTTTAATTAGACGGGTGATTATTCGAGTAAAGTCAAAAAAGGTAAATTAAATGCTTAATTAGTAGAATTTACTATCCTTTATAAGCTTAATATTTATTGAATTTTATACACTTTACAGCTGGAATTGAACAAACATTCAAGGGATACGCTAAAGGATATGTTTCTTTGTTTGAGAGAGAGGGAGAGATAAACCGGAAGTATGAGAGAAAATTTAAATTTTTACTTTTTTATGAAATATTGCTTATAATGAATAGAGAAATAGACAAATTAAAAAAAAACGGAAATTTCCACCTGACCTTAAGCAAATAATAAACTTTCTAACCGATTGTCAACCATAATTCCAACTAAATTTAAATAAATTTTGATGAAACACTAAACTTACCTTTCAATTTTGCCACATCCCCATATATTCTTTATTTTTTTAAAATGTACCATGGATGAATTTTCTTCTGGTTCCGCTTTTTAAAATTCAAAATTATCCTCCCTTGTATGAGCAGAATGGCTTTTCTCCTATCCTCAATTTCACTCAAAAGAGACACTTTTTCAATGAGAGACATTCAATTCAAGTCTAATTATAATTAATAGTTTACTATTCAATTAATAAAAAATATTTTATCAACAATTATAAACTATTCAATTTTACTGATAAATTATCGCTATTCTAACTAAGTATGTCCATTCATTATACTCGTTCAATTATTACACAATCCGTTCGAACACCCTTTACTTCCACAACCACTACATGCTTTTCCTTTTTTGTAAACAACTTGTCCAAGATAATTTCCACTAAAATTTTGATTAATCTAGCCAAAAATTCGAAACAAACGGTTTATTGTATTGACAAACAGTATAAGTTTTATACGGTGCATTTGGGCATTTTGCTACACCACAACCAATTTCTGTTGTTTCTGCCCAGGCCATTTGTGTAGCATGTCCAATATTAATGAAATTATTTCCGTTAACAACTAGACTGGATTGTATTCCAACTTTTTTAAATTCCCCCCACCAATTTTTACAAGCTTTTAAAAGTGCGTCTTCTGAAATTGTAGAGAAACTGTTTTTGTGCATTAAATACTCTTCAAGGTCTCAAATAATAAATAATTTTTGGAGCCTTCTGGCTTGCCCAAAAGGCTTTAGCCACCTAGGCAAATAAAACGCACATCGTTATGGCTTAGTAAAGGTATTAGTTTCTGTTTTGCCAACTCAATAGTTATCCTTAGTGAATATAATGTATCAAGGTTTAGTTAACAGAATATCCCCACATACTTCCATTTCACTATGAGATATTGAAAATATTACTTGTAGTTATCTTTGCGTCACCATCCATTGCAAGATTCTCTCCGTATTTGCGCTGATTACTAGGAGTATGACTTTCTGTACATTTGTTTGCCCAATTAGTAGCACTGGCTTCCACAGTTTTGGAATAAGTCAGCTTTTTAATATTCATGCCGGATGGCAATAATCCAGTCTTGTTTTGTTCTTTTCCATTAGCTAGGGAAGCTCGAAAGTTATTGTGACAAGCAAGGATGGCATTTTGTTCATCAAGTGTTAAGGCATTAATTTCTATAAAATGAGAATTTTGTGGGAAAAAAATTCACATTTTTACCTATCAGATTCATTAATACTATAACTAACAGTAAAATTAAATTTCGGCACATTTTTAAATTATAAAAAATATAGGTATCTAAATATTATTGAAAGTAACGATTTCAAAAGATATTAGAACTATGATCTAATTTTTAGCATTTTCAGCTAACTCATTGTCTGAAAGGATATCAAATTATCCCCATCTATCCCTCTGTGTATCAGGACGATCCGCTTAAGCAAAATTCCGTTTTTTTGAACCTTCCGTCTTCTGCTTTCTTATTTCATTCCGCATTCTTCCGCTTCCTCCTTCCGCTTTTTAAAATTCAAAATTCTCCAGCCCTGCTATGTACATATCCTAACTTTACTAATTTAATTTTTAAAATTGTCATGGCAAAGATTTTACAATTATTCAATGATAATCAAAAAGCCTAAACATTCAGCCTCGAATGCTACATAAATTTAAACATAAATTCAAGAACAAAATAAAGTTAGCAATTAAAAATATTGATGGTTGGGTTCTTAATAATTAAATCATTTTATATTTAAAAAAATTAACTTTTTAAAGTTTTGCATCTAGATTAAGCAAATAATTTGATCCGAAAAAGTGTCAAAATATCTTAAAACTTCAATAAATATATACACAAGATGCCTCATTATTAAGCAGAATTATGCACTTTTAGGGGAAAACAGAAAATAATAAACATTTCCTTTTAAAATTATTTTCAATAACAGTCAAAATAATTTATTGAAAATTTAAAAATGAACTTTTACACCTGCCTTTAGCCAAACAAAAAAATATAATTTTTAAATAAATTTTTAATATTTTATACTAATATTTAGAAAACAATATTAAGAGATTATTAATTAATTTTGGGTAATATTTCACTCAGAAATTAATGTTAAAGTGCAATTCTACGAACTTACTCTATCTCAGTTTCATTCTTTTAGATAACAAAAATTTCAAGTTTATAAATATTTTTCCTCTAAGTTCAAGTAAATTACCTAATTAAAAATTTATTAGTATACAAAAAATATTTTTCAAATTTAATGAACTGTTTGGAAATTAAATAAAATTCAGCTTGTGTTCCTGGTATATTCTTGTGTTCCTTATAAAAAACAGATGTTTTATCAATTTTAAAAAATATATACTGTCAATTATACTCAATTAAATTGCTTAGTACATGGACAGGTGAACTTGGGAATATAAGTAAAATCAACAGTATGATACAGGGTTCGTTCTGAAGTAAAATATCCCAATAATATAGAGAGGTTGACAAATTGAGTGAGGGTGATAGTGAGAGGTGGTATAGGGGTGTGATAGTCTATAAATTGTAAAAATATAAAGAAATGAAATATCCAGAAGACTTAGAGTTTGTTCATTTCTGTGTATTCGTAGTACTTGAAGTAAAAGCCTGTTTAGGAATAACCATAACTACATTATTATTCTCTTTAGGTAAAAAACAAATTTTTCGGATTAATTTATAAATGTGTGAATGCATCATTTCAGATGCCCAAAGAAGCAAAAATGCAGGAATGGCAATTGTACTAATATCGTTGACCAAGGAATATTCGTTGTATACTGTTAAGAAAATTAGTTCTGCTAAATCAGGGTCGATTAAATTTTGAAGTTTAAAAGCAGCAACGTAAAGTATTAGCTAAAATTAAAATATCTCCAAAATTATCCAAGTATCTCCCTTTTTACCATATAAAAAGTATATAAAAGTTGCCCAAAGAAAGTTAAAATCGAGTAAATTGTTAGACGGGCTTCCATCTTTTGCTTGCTTTCAGTCTGTTGTGAACTCACAATCTTTGTCTTCTTATAGACAAAAAGGCTGGCAATATTAATTGCCAGACAAGCAATTGTGAATACCCCCGAAAACTCAGCAGCAATCAAAGGGTCATTTGTATCCTATAAATTTTTTAAAAATAACTTTGCCAAAAAAATTTTTTTTAATTTTAAAATTATTACATCAGACTTCATTTGTGTAAGCAATGTAAATGTTGCATTATCATCATGAACCCAAATAGTTATATCTAAAAATACAATATGCCAAGTTTGTGTTAGTGGAAGAATATAAGCTAGAATAATTGCCCAGTACCATAATTTCTTCCAAATCTGAATTTAAAAATTAATTCAATCTAGAACCTCAAATTAGACCCTTTCATATTTTACTGGCCACAGAAGAGCTGTCAGTCTATTTAAAAGAAGGGTAATAGTACACGTGCCCTCAACTAGGTAGAAATAGGCTGTCATAAAGTAAAAGATTGCCAGATATGTATACTCCAGGCAGATTTAGATATATTGAAAGGAAGAAACCAACACGTCCAAAACGTGAATACAAACATTGGCCGATCAGCCCCAAAATACTCTAAAGAAATTTTTTGAAGGAGTTAATTATTTCTGTTTAATTAACCGATATAGTTCTAGCAGCAAAAAGTTTGAAAAATGAAGATTTGAAAACTTTTTTGAAACGAAAAATCACTCCTAATTCAGTCAAGTAAAGAATGGTTGAAGGTACAATAATTAATAAAGCAATTATATTTGGGGGAATTACTGCTTGGGAAAGTGTATTGAAGAAATTAAATATCCATGTTGTGTTGCTCATCTTTAGAAACAGATTTTATCACTAAATCACGAAGTGTTTTAAGTCATTATAAAATTTTATATGATCATTCTCAAGGCTATTATAGGGGGGGCTTATTTTAGCAGGTGTGTTTCTGTTGGAATGTAGTTCTAGTATTAGATTTATGATGTTAAAATTATTAGATTTAAATGAGAATTACATTAAACTCGTTAAAACAATTTTTATTGACACTAAAATATGTAAATTGTTTAAAAATTCAAATGAAACTAAGGTAAAATTTAAAAAAAAGGAGTAAATATTTTTTATTATATGTCCAAAGTAATAATTTATTTTAACATTGGACAGATGTTTTAATTATTTTACACCTGTTTAATCTCGTATCTATCTTTTCTTAATTTTGCGTAAACAAAAAACTTTGCGTAAACAGGCTATCATAATATCTTGGTCTTGATCTTGTGAATATTGAGCATAACTTTACTGGCATGGATATAGAAATGTATATTTTTTTCAAAGAAAAAGCTTAAAAATAGCTCGTTTTGAAACAAATAAGATCAGAATCAGCCAATTTAGTATCAGTTCTGAAACTAAGATTTAGTTTATGTCACTTATAGCCTCAAAATAAACATATCAAATTGATAATAGAGCAAAATAATTTAATATTTTATTCAACAGCAATAATTCTGGGGTAATAAGCAGAGGAAGGGTAAACTTAGATGACTCTGTAGGCTTGAGATGATTTTTGAAGCTTTATATAGTTCAAAAAACAGCTTATACACCATTCATGGATAATTTTTATAAGTATAATACTATAATAACTATTTTAGAATGTGAAGATAAAATTACAATCAAATTTATAAAAATTGAAAAATTTAGATAATGAGATCAAGAGCTTGTATGTTTAGTTGTATTCGTCGTACTCGAAGTAAATGCCTGTTTAGGGATAACCATAACTACATTATTATTCTCTTTAGGTAAAAAACAAATTTTTCGGATTAATGAATAAATGTGAGAATGCATCATTTCAGAAGCCCAAAGAAGCAAAAATGCAGGGATGGCGATTGTACTGATATCGCTTACCCAAGCAAACTGATTGTAGACTGTCAAGAAAATTAATTCTGCCAAATCGGGGTCTATACCAAACTTTTGTAGCTGAGAAGCCGAAATGTAGAGGATTATCTAAAACAAAATTTTCTCCAAAATTATAACAATATCTTCAATTTACCATATAACATGTAAATAAAAGTTGCCCAAAAAATGTCAAAACCGAGTAAATTGTCAGTCGGGCTTCCATCTTTTGTTTGCTATCAGTTTGCTGTGAGCTGACAATTTTTGTCTTCTTATAGACTAAAAGACATCCAAGATTGATTAATAGGCATATAATTGTGAATGCCCCAGAAAACTCGGCAGTTAGTAAGGGGTCATTTGGATCCTGAAATTTACACGGAAATACAATGTTTACTTTTATTTTAAAATATTTAAAAATATTACATCAGGCTTTGATTCTGTAAACAAAGTAAACGTTGCATTATCATCATGAACCCAAATAACTACTTCTGAATTAAAAATATGCCAGGTTAGTGTTAGAGGAAGTATGTAGACAAGAATAATTGCCCAGTACCATAATTTCTTCCAGATCTGAATTTATGCTTGTTTTAAGCCTAAAACCTAAATTGACCTTTTCATATTTTAAAGGCCAATAAAGAGCTGTAAGTCTGTTCAAAAGAAGAATTGCAGTAGCTGACCCTTCCACATAATAGAAATGATTGGCCATAAAAGTAAAGATAATTAAATAAACACCAGGCAATTCTAGATAAATTGAAAGGAAGAAACCAACACGTCCAAAACGTGTATACAAACATTGACCGATTAGTCCCAAAATACTCTTAAGAAAATTTTGAAGGGTTAATTATTTCTGCTTAATTAACCGATATAGTTCTAGCAGCAAAAAGTTTGAAAAATGAAGATTTGAAAACTTTTTTGAAACGAAAAATCACTCCTAATTCAGTCAAGTAAAGAATGGTTGAAGGTACAACAATTAATAAAGCAATTATATTTGGGGGAATTACAGATTGGGAAAGTGTATTGAAGAAATTAAATATCCATGTTGTGTTGCTCATTTTTTAAAATTATTATTAACACACGGGATATAATTTTAATATCCGAATGTTGGTATTTAATTAATTTGAGACAATAATTTAAAGGAAAATGCAATTTTATATTTTTTACACAAGCTTATAATTAATTTAATAAATTTTTAATTTAACTTTTTATGTGCAAAAAGAATTATAAATATTAAATTTCCAAGTTTAATTAAATTTGTTTAATAAGAATTTTAATTTAATAATTATAAAAAAATTATTGCTTAACAAGATTTCAACGAGGAAGGCGGTCAAATTTTTTTAATTATTTCCTAGTCCAAAGTGTCACTTATTTTATTCTTTAACAGGTGTTTTACGCCGTTTACGCCTGTTTAAATTCATAATTTTTCTCATTTTGTGTCAACAAGACTTAATTTAAATTAATTAAACTATTCATTTAGAATAATAGAATTAAACTTCTTGCCAGAGGGCTGGTTTAAGGGTTGGGGATTTAGTGGGCGAGGCGCAGAGGACATAATTGGTCCTCTGCAATTACTCTTTAATTGTTTCGGATTTTAGAGCCTATTTGGCAATTTTTAGTAAGAATATAAGCGCAGATTTTCAACTTTTTAGTGCCTAATAATCCTAACACTATTTATAAATAATAACTATTTTATACAGAGCAAAAATGAAAATCAAATTTGTGACGATAGAAAAATTTAGATAATGAGATCAAGAGTTTGTATGTTTTGTAATCATAGTACTTGAAGTAAAAGCCTGTTTAGGGATAACCATAACTACATTATTATTCTCTTTGGGTAAGAAACAAATTATTCGAATTAATTTATAAATGTGTGAATGCATCATTTCAGAAGCCCAAAGAAGCAAAAATGCAGGAATGGCAATTGTACTGATATCGTTGACCCAGCAAAGCTGATTAAAAACTGATAAGAAAATTAGTTCCCCTAAGTCTGGGTCTATATGAAAATTCTGAAGTTGTGTAGCCACAAAGTAAAGAATCATCTGAAATTAGAAAATTCCCAAAATTATTCAAATATCTCCAATTTACCATATAAATTAAATATAAAAGTTGCCCAAAAAATGTCAAAATTGTGTAAATTGTCAGTCGGGCTTCCATCTTTTGCTTGCTATCAGTCTGTTGTGAACTGACAATTTTGGTCCTCTTATAGACAAAAAGGCTTGCAAGGTTGATTAATAGGCAAACAACTGTGAAAAACCCCGAAAACTCTGCAGCAATCAAAGGGTCATTCGGATCCTGAAAATTTCTATGATGAAAATAAAGTTTGCCAAAATTACATCAGGCTTCATTACTGTAAATAATGTAAATGTTGCATTATCATCATGAACCCAAATAACAACTTCTGAAAACAAAGTATGCCAAGTTATCGGTAGTGGAAGGATATAAGCTAGAATAATCACCCAATACCATAATTTCTTCCAAATCTGAATTTCAAAAGTAATTCAATTCGGAATCTTTAATTGAACCCTTTCATATTTTACTGGCCACAAAAGAGCTGTCAGTCTATTTAGAAGGAGTGTGGCAGTAGACGTGCTCTCCACAAAGTAGAAATGATTGTTCATAAAATTGAAAATAGCCAAATAAACACCAGGCAATTTTAAATATATTGAAAGGAAGAAACCAACACGTCCAAAACGTGAATACAAACATAGGCTAATCAAACCAATGATACTCTAAAGTAAAATTGATATATCAAATGGTCGGAACGTCCCACTTGTGTACTGGCCGTTTGTGTACCTGGCCATATTTTGGGCCATAACTTTTTTGATTCTTAACCGACTTCAATTATTATTATATGAATCGAAAGCCCTGGATGTGAAGATTATTTTCGCCGACAGGATTGATTTGATCAGATCATGTTATAAAAAGTTATATCTCGATAAATGCGCTCAATCGTGATTTTGATAAATGCGCTCAATCGTGATCTGTAACTTTTTGTATGATTATCTGATCAAATCAATCCTGTTGGCAAAAATAATCCTCACATCCAGGGCTTTCAATTGATATATTATTTATTTAAATCAATTAAGAATTGAAAAAGTTATGGCCCAAAATATGGCCAGGTACACAAACGGCCGGTACACAATGATCCCCTACCCTCAAATGGTTGCTTTCTGGGGGATTTTAGAAAGAGATAAGCAAAAGATTAGCCACCGGGCAGGATTCGAACCTGAGACATCCTAACAGTTATTGCAAGGAGCTTTCGCTCACCACATACAGGAGCTCTACCACTGAGCTACCGGGGCGACGACTAATGCTCTCTCTTTTATCACTTTAAGATCTTTTTAGTTATCAAATTAGTTAATTAATTAACCGATATAGTTCTAGCAGCAAAAAGTTTGAAGAATGAAGATTTGAAAACTTTTTTGAAACGAAAAATCACTCCTAATTCAGTCAAGTAAAGAATGGTTGAAGGTATAACAATTAATAAAGCGATTATATTCGGGGGAATTACAGATTGGGAAAGTGTATTGAACAAATTAAATATCCATGTTGTGTTGCTCATTTTTGAAAAATTTTATTTCATTCTTATCTCATTCTCAATTACAATTTTATTAAACTAAAACCATTCAAAAAACTGAGCTTTTATTTCAAATAGCTCATTTTTTAAATAATTTTAACATGCAAATATAATATTACAGTACAATTTCGGCATACAAAAATTATTTTGTTGAAATTATTCAGTTGGAAATTGTATTTTAAAAAATTAAATAATAATTTTGTATTGCTCTTTTTTTAAATTTTTATAAGTAAATTAAACGGAAAACATGTAAATGATTTTATTGACACCAAAAAATGCAATTTATTATTTTACAGAATTTAATAAATTTTTAAAAATTTATAATAAATTTGTATGATAATAATTTAATAAATTCGTCAAATAAAAATATTAATTTAATAATAATAAATTTTTTTGCTTAACAAGACATCAAGAAAAATAGAAGGCGGTCAAATTTTTTAATAATTTCCTAGTCCAATGTATTCATTTAGTTAGCTAATTAACAGGTGTTTTACATCGTTTACACCTGTTTAAATTCATATTTTTTCTGATTTTGTGTAATTTATATTCATAAAAATAGGGGAGAACTAATTAAATTATTTATTCATAATAATAAAATTAAATTTCTTATAAATATTTACAGCTAAAGTGTGAATATTTTATTAATAACAAAAAGGACAAAAAACGGGCGAAAATTATTAGTTTACCGTATTTTTTCAGACAATTCCCCATATCAATAATATGTACATATATTTATCAAGGTGCGGAAATCGGAAGAGGTGTCGGAAATCGAAAGAACGTGTCGGAAATCAGAAGAGCCTAAAATCGGAACTGGCTCAAAGGTCGGAACTCGGAAATCTGGAATCAAATTTTTTTTCGGAAATCGGCAGACCATCGTACCGCTCGTCCAACGCAGACCCAGCAGTGTTTATAAATTTCAGATTTGCTCGTATTTGTACTTTTACTTCGTACATACTATTTTTTTGTTCGTACTCGTACGCATATCCCGTACCTAAGTACGAGTACGAACTTTTGTACGAGCTTATTAATACTGGTGCCGAGCTTGTTATGGTCCGATGCAGCTTATTAGCTATGGCTTCTGGATTCGACATGTTATGGCAGTACGTTGGGATGTGCCTCCCCCCCCCCCCGAGAGACACCTCAGGATGTAAGCAGAAGGATATATTAGAAATATTATTCAAGGTGTCGATTAAATGCGTTTGTTGAATTAATAGTTCCCTAGACTCGAATAATTCTCAATCCCACGGATTATCTGGTTCTTGAAATATTAATTACCGGGAGAAATTAATCGAAAAATACGGTAATTAATTATAATTACCTTATTATTTAATTTAAAAATCAACTGTTTAATTGAATCATTAAAATTTATTTTAAAATATTTGCATATGATTTTATATATTCATATGTTTTCCCTCTTCATAAAAGGCAGGCAGGACATGTACCTAATTATTTAATTTTAATTTTTGTATTTATTTAAATTTAAATTATGAAAGTAAGTCTGTTTCGTTGTTTTATTACAACAGAAACACAGCACGCCAATTGGAGCGTGCTGGCGAGGGCCTTTCCATTTGGGGTATTTAGTAAGACTTAAGTCTGGGACAAACAGAAACAAACAAACAAACAACAGAAACACAGCACGCCAGACAACAGAAACACGCACAACAGAAACACAGCACGCCAATTGGAGCGTGCTGGCGAGGGCCTTTCCATTTGGGGTATTTAGTAAGACTTAAGTCCTTAAGCCCCATCTGCTAGACTACTCCTTACACAACATTAATTGTTGGATGTTTTGTTTCCTTAATTGGTAATATTTTTAAATATTATAGTAAATTCTGAATTTCAAATTCATATAAGTCGGAGCTTACAGATAACCTCGATATAAGATGGATTTCCTTTAGAATTCGGTTGGCTATTTGGTGGAGGAGCTAGTTGAACTAAGCCAATTCTTTAAGTTTTATTCAGGCCCCATGAGGGTTCAACTGTAAAAATAAAATTAATATTTAATATAAAAAAGATGGAGAGACTGTGGAGAAAGACATAAAAAAGCTGGAAAAGTTTTTCAAAGATGAATTAAATGGTATTGGAGTCCACCAGATAGACACTTCAAGAATAAGCCAGAAGGATGCAGAAAAAATTGCAAAATATGGCGTACATGTACGTAAACTTTTAGATTCTAAATTAAATTTTTAATTTGTTGGAGCGGTACTCAGCAACGTACCTACAATAAACATCACCCTCCTGTGCCGGAGAATAAATTAAATTAATAAAACGTGAATCAGCCCAGGCAGGCTACCTATGCTGATTTATCGGGTAATACTTAGTTCCGTCGCATTGGATGGAACTATCCATACATAGTTCCGTTGCAGTGGTAAACCCCATTTAATAGATAAAACCCTGATAATTTCATTTTTCGTTTAATAAATTTTTTAAGAAAATGTTAGAAATTGCAGTAAATTTTGTTAAAAAACTTGAGGAATATATTATTTTAAAAAATAGAAATGATCAAGTTATAAAAGGTTTAGAAAAATTAAATGAAGAAATAAAAAGTGTTTTGGAAAGTTTTGGCATAAAATTTAACAAAAATAATCAAATGGAAGGAAAAATTAAGCAATACAAACATCTTGAAAAATATATCCCATCGTTGGATGATTTATTTGAATTTTATAATGAACTCCATTCCAAGACAAAATTGCATGACACAGAAGTGATGCGTAGTAAAGGAGGAGATGCTATCCGATTCGCTTCTGGAGCGTTCTGAAAAGAAGTTTTGATTCGAAAGAAGTCTGATAGGGGGATTTTTAAGAAAAAAATTTGGGTATTTAAAAAAGACATTTTCTGCTTTACTTTAAAATTTAAAAACCCTTTAGTAATATTTTTATTAATTTTTTTCTCGATTTATTTTTAAAATTTTCAAAATTTTTGGAGTAAACATTGAAGCTTTGATTGTTTAAAAATTATTTTTTTTTAATATTAAAATATTTATTTTTAATATTATTTAAATCAATCGTCTGTCTATAAAAAAATATGCACTTTATTAAAGTTGGGAAATACGTAAAAATTATTTCTTAACGTCTGGCATGAAATAAAACGCCCTTTACATCCGCTTAAAAAATTGTTATTAAATAATTATTAAAAAATTTTAGAAAATTTTTATAAATTTTAATAAAATTATCTCCACTAACATTACAATAAAAAATATTAATAATTTATTTATTTTATTCTAATTGAAAGACTATTTATTTAGACAAACTTTAGAAGATAGTTGAAAGATTTTTGAATAAGGTAGTTTTTAAATTTTTGACCACTTGAAAATTCTTTCAGGCAAAACTAAATTCTCCGACAAACAATGCCAAGTTTAGAGGCATTTCTGGAAGTTTATTGTTATTTACTATTTAAGATTGGGGCCAGTCCGGTCCGAAAGATCGAGTCTGGCATCGAATTTTGGCCCGAAAAAGGAGGTCCGAAAAAATGACTCGAGCATCGGCCTGAATCGAAAACCCCCAACCCTATTACTATTAATTAATTATAGAAAGAGTTTAGCAAAAGTTTAGCCACCGGGCAGGATTCGAACCTGTAACCTCCTGACAGTTATTGCTAGGCGCTTTCGCTTACCACATACAAGAGCTCTATCTCTGAGCTACCAGGGCATCGTCTAATGCTTACATTATTCAATAATTCTTTCATGGCAAGGACTCGATTTATATTGACAAGGGATATGCTTAATTGACTACTTACATAATTCAGAAAGCAAAGATAAAAAATTATTAGAGATAAAGCAAGAAGAGATGTTAAGAAATTATAGTCAGGATTTCTTAAGGAGAGCCTTCAAAGCGAGTGAGAGTGTAAAGGCTCTCACTCGCTTTGAAGGCTCTCCTCTCATAGCCTCTCATTCCCCTTTTTTTAATATTAAATATTTTTACATAATAGTTATTTTCTTATTTATTTTTATTAATAATTTTTGAAACTTTCTTTAACAGATTGTATTTTCATGCTGAAATTGTTGACACTTTTAATTGTGTTAACATTAATTCAAGGTCTGTCAAAGATATAAACTCGAGGGTAACCCTAGAAACATTTTTTAAATTTTAAGATTCCGATGGCCTTAAAAATAAACTTAGAGGATTGGCAAAGCAAATTTTTTCAAGTAAAGCTAACAATAAAACTTCGAATCCAACTACAATCAAATTTCCCAAACCTACAAATATGAGCATTAATGATGGATATTCTTCAAATGGGCATGTTTTCTTTCCCGAAAAATTTTCTTAAATTTAATTATTAAAATAGAATGCCTTTTGCTGCCTCAGGATTACAACACTCATTTAACAAAAACAAAATCACGACTAATACAAAAATAAAAAACGGGAAGGATATGAGTAGAATAATCACAACAAACATTAAAATACACCCACTTTATGATTATTCTAACCCAGTTTTGGGGTCGTATTCAAGTGCATATGTTAGTGCTGGACCCAAATTTAAAGCTTATAAATTTGGGCAGGATAATGACGAATATGAGTATTTAAAACAGTCGAAATTTAGACCTTCCAAATCATCCAAGTCGTTAATTGAGAGATTTATAGAGGAGGATGAAAAGGAAGAAAAGATAAAATCAGAGGTTATTCTTTTTGATTTTATTTTATTTTTGTTTATGAGCAACAACACGGTATAAAAAATACACTAATAGTGGTGAAACTCAAAAAAATATATATATTAAATTAATTTAATGAAAATTTAAAAAAAATTTATTTTTGCTTTATTTCACCAAAATTTAATAAATAAATTACAACTTGAGGAAAAATGTTTCCGTTATCTAATATCCATTTTTTAATATATTTCCTGAATGGCTTTTTATGCATTAGTCCCATAATTTCATTAGGTAGTTTATTCCGATTTGTTATATTTCTTGTGAGAAAATTATTTAAAAAATTTTAAAATATAAAAAATATAATAATAATCTAATTTGTAAAGGATTTGTCAAGAAAAAATGTTGTTCAAAGAATAAAGACTTCAAGTCATCTGAATTCGGGCTCGGATTCAGAAAACAGACGGGAAGGACTAGCAATAGCATTAGAATCGAATAATGAAGGAAAAGAAGGGCAACATGACCAAGAAAGTGAGAAAAAAGATTATAAAGTAGTTGCAAATAAAATGGAGAATCAAGTGCCTGAAGCACAAATAATAGTTGAAACCCCAGTAGTATCGGAAGAAAAAATAATCGAAAATTCTTCGGAAGATAAAAGTGGTGATAGTGAATATTATTCGGTTAATTCAGAGTATTATTCGGCAAATTCAGAAAGTGGGGAAGAAAGTGATCAAGAATTTGAACGCAGTTTGACTGCTGATCAAGTAAAAAATGAAAATAAAGGGAAATTGAAGAGATTTTATAGTGAGCAAAGCCCGCCGAGGAAAAAGATGATTGAAGAAAGATTTGAATTTACTCCAAAACAAGATGGTTTTGGAACGAGTGGTGATAATAAAATTGAGAAAGGTATCCCTATCGTTAATAAGGTTAACGTAGGTTATGTTATGATAGTGTGGCTAGTATTTAAACGTTATTATACTATAAAAGACACACATAATTGTCAGTCCGTGTCTATTTTATCAACATTATTATGTGTATTTCTATTATTTCTATTGTGTAATAAACACATTATTGTATTGCTTCTTTATTGTTGTACAAGGATACAACAGGTTATAGGTCATATAGGGGGGGGGGGACAATCTAATGTGATCTGAGAGATTTTTCCTATAGAACCATGGGGTATATATTTTTAATGAGGTTGACTTGCTCGAGAAACTATCATAATACGGTCGAACCTCACCTGTATATAACCGCATGAATAAATAATCATTTATTAAATCATTTTCTAGTAGATAAAAAATTCAACGACGAACAAAGTAAGGGTGATCATGAACACAATACAATTAATAAAGAGAATATTTCAACAGAAATGTTAAATGAAAATGAAAAAACAGAAGAAAAAAATGAACAAAATCAGGAGGATAAAACAATAATGAGTGAAAATCAAAAGGAGAATATCTCGTTAAACAATGACCAGATAAAAAATAATGATGAATTAAATCATTCAAAAATTCAGGAAAATAAACAATTAAATAAAGATAAGAAGATAAAACGGACTAAAAGAAAAAATAAACCGGGCAAAAATCCTTTAGGAGTGAACAAAGTTAACGGGATAAAAAGCAAAAGACAGAGTAAAATAAAAGATAAAATTCATAATATTCTGTTTAAAAATGAGGATAGAAATAAAGATGAATTGTATAAAATGATAAAGGAAAATGGCAAAAAAGGTAATCGAAAGGTGGATGGTGCTAAAGCAAGTGACTTGATAAAAAATCAAAGAAAAGGTCATTTGCCTTCAGATAAGAAACATGAAGGAAAAAGGAAAGGAACTACTAAATCAAAAAATAAATCAAGAAGTAAAAGAATACTTAAAGGATTTAAGGTTAAAACTAAGGGATTACTTGGAGGATTAAGATTTGGAAAGAGTAAAAGAGGAAAAATTATTAACGTAAAGGACTTAAAGAAAGATGGGACTGTTAATAAGCATGATCAAGTAAAAGAAAATGAGAAAGTTGATTTTGAGGTAAAAGAAAATAAAAATGGAAATCAAGTTGAAAGCATTTCAGGTACGTTAATTATGTTAGGGTGACGTTAGTCTAGTATAAAAGGCAAAGCCTTTCTCAGTTGTGATTAGCTTGTTATTAGTGTTATTCTGTCAGTCACAGTTAGTATACTATTCAACTGGATAGTCTCGCGGATTCTATTTTATTAACTTGGGATAAAGCACATTTGATAGTCAAGTACTTCTGTTAGTTTTATTCGGACATATCGCATGGTAATAAACATAACGAATAGTCAAAATTTTAGAACAAAGATTTGATTAATATATTTTATTTCATTTAGTTTTAAACAAGAATAAGTTAGAAGAATGTTCTTCGAAAAAAGATGAATGTTCTTCTAAGAAAGAAGAAAGTTTTTCCAAGAAAGAAGAAAGCTCTTCTACGAAAGCTGAAAGTGTTATCAAGAAAGAAGAAAGTTCTTCTAAGATAGATGAGATAAACAAAGTGATTGAAGAAGTTAAAATCTTAACACAAAATAATAATGTTGATACAATACAAGAAGAAGAGGTTATTTTTAAGAAATTGACATACTAATTAATTAAAATTTAAGGAAAGTGAGTCTGTTGAAGAATTAGTTCTGAAACCGAGTGATGAAAAAATAGCCAAAAGTGAGCAGTTTAATAAATTATTAGAAGATTCTTCTCCTAAAACAATTCCATTCTCAGCATCTCCATTTAGACATATCAAATGTAAATTTTGATTCTTAAGATTTTAAAACAAGTTTTGAATATTTCAGCAGCTTCAAACACCATTTGGGCTGAATATGAATTCTCACCCTCACTGGCCATTAAGGAGGCAGACATGCTTCCGATTGTGCCTCTTGTATGTTACAATGGGGATTAAAATTAAATTTTAAATTTTTAGCTCTTCAAGACATTCGAAGCCAAAAAGCATAATAAAAAGCATACATCTTCAATATCAGAAAATGTGAAAAACGATAAAAAAATACTTCATTTTCACCCTCAAAAATTTTTCTTGGGTACAGTACTGAAGCAGTAAGGATTATAATTTCAAAATATAAAAAAAATTCTAAAAATTTAGAGCTTTTAGAAAAGGTCACAAAGACAAAATATCATTTGAACAACTCGAAGAATTTTTCAAAAAAGTCGAAACGGAAAATTGGCATGAAATTGAAAATGAAAAAAATATGGAAATGGACAAAATAGAAATGTTATTTGATAATTATACAGACTTTGAAAAATTAAAAGAAAGAGATATTGAAATACATGTAAATTATTTTTTTAAAAAATAAAATTGAGTAAAATTTCAATTTAGGTAGAAAAATATAAAGAACTAAATAAAGAGCAAATAAAAGAATATCCTTTAGAAGACCAATATTTTTGGTTAATTATTAAGTCGATGGACAATGAAAAGAGTTTTAGAAAAATTTTGGAAAAAAAATTTGTTTATGAGAAAAAGGTTGCTAAATAAATAAAAATTTTTTAATAAAAAAAAATTTTTTTCTAGTTGGAAGACGCTAAAGAGGATATAAAAAAATTAATGTCAGAATTAAAAATGCCTATATTTGAGGAGAATGAAAAAGAATTTGTTGAGAAATTTATTAAGACTGTTTTGCATATTATTAATCTTTTAAATTGGGTTAGTCAAGAGTAAATTAATGCGGTCGGATCTCATTATAAGTACATGAAATTAAAGGTTCTTGTAATGAAATGCTTATTAAAGAGGATCCTTAGTTGCCAACCAATTTTAAAAAATAAATCTTGAATTTTTTGTATCATAAAGTGGCCCTCCCATATTTAAAAACGTAAGACGAAAGAAAACTGAAGACGGAAGCGGAAGAGATCCCATAATGTTCATGCCATAGAAAAATTCATTGGATGGGAGATGGTGGCAAGCCGAGGCACAACCGACTGTGCCACCATCCAACCGAATGATGGGTTATTTATTTTCATTTATATTCTTTCTGCAAGTGCGGACAAAACAGATTCCATCCCAGATGTGTCTCATAGTGAGGTTCGATTGTATTTTTATTTTAAAAAATACACATTTCTCGGCCTAATTTTAATTTTCTTTAGAAATCAGGAGACAAGAGACAATTTAATAGTTTAGACTTGAACAATCTTCCAGATTATTTAAAGAGAAAAAATCAAAATACTGAATTAAAATATAAAGATATAGACTTAGCCCATTTAATTATAATTTTGTTGAGAAATAAAATTGAAGGTCAAAGCGAAAATGTTTTGTATAGTCAATTAAAGAATTTGAAAGATAAATTTTATGAAAGTAGAATTTTGTAAGTTTAACTGATTTTTAAATTTAAATTTAGGAGCTATAACTTTTCGTTATAAAAATGTTTAAATGACTTCTCTGGCATTTTGTCTATTATTTTTTGGATTTGTTTGTGGACTTACCTCATTGCCTATTTTGTAGTAAACCATCACTAAATAGTCGTCTATTTTTATATTTGTTCAGTCGTAAAACTACATAATATATAAAAATATGTTTATAATTTAATTTAAGATACGAAAACTATAAAAAGAATGCTGAAAGGATTGATGAAATTTACAAAGATTTTGGAACAAACGAAGAAGCTGGTATCATTGATAAAATCAATTCATTAAAGAAGCAACTTCAACAAGTTCAAGAAGAGTCAGAAATATTCAAGTGGCTAGGGTTTTATTTGGCTGAAACCGATGTTGATAAAAGGTGTAATGATAGAATAAAGGGATTCAAGGCACTCGAAGATGGTTTTACACAACTTTTAACTGCAAATAGGGAAATGGAAAATGTGAAGGTAGATAAGAAAGCTATAATTATTTTTCTTATTTAAATGTAGACTAGTAGAGAATTGAATCAAGTAATGGAAAAAGCAATAGAAAACACGAACAAATATAATGAAATAGAGAAAGCTATATCCGAGTTGATTTTGGAGGAAGAGAAGGAATTTGTGAGGCAATTGGCGGCGTGGAATGGAAGGGCACAGACAATAAAGAATAATCTGAAAGCTGGAAGCGCAGGAATGACAACGAAGACGGTTCATGCAGGATCTCCTCCACCCCCTCCACCACCACCAGGAAACGGAAGCAATCGAGCTATTCCAAAGCCGCCTCAGCCACCATCTCCACCTCCCCCGCCACCAATATCAAAGATTAGAGCTAATCAAGGAAGTCCAAAACAACCGCCATCTCCGCCTCCACCTCCGCCACTAATGCCAAAAGCTAGTCAAGGAATTCCAAAACCTCCACGACCACCACAGAAGCAAGAAAGTAAAGGAGTTCCTCTACCACCACCGCCGCCTCCACCACCAACTCATTTATCTCCGACTATAAAAAAGCCGAATTTATATGTAAGCTATATTTAGTTTATTTGTATCTTCTATCAACTAAATTAATTTTAGCAAAACGCTCAAAATGTTAACGAAACAAGTTCATCTAAAGGTGAAGTAAGTGAATCAAAAAACACAAATATTGAGGAAAATGTGGATGATGGAAATGTTTACAAGAAAGAAATTTTGTCCAGAGGGCTTGAAAAAAGGCGTCATTTTATCCAATCAGATGAAGACGACTGAAGTTTTGGACGATTTTGATAAATTACCTATATACATATGTTAAAGTTATTATTTCGTAGAATATTTATTTTTATACAATTTTATTTTATTTACATATACCTATTCAAGATAGAGTAATGTAAAGCATATAGATATTTAATTTCTAAGGCTATGCAGTAGGCGGCGTGGTGTAATGGCTAACACATCAGTCCGGTCTACTGAAAATGCTGGTTCGCCCCAGCCGCCGATTAACCTTTTGCACTAGCTAAAGGAGAGAAATAGCTATAGCTTTACTGTAATCGAAAATAATTTTAAACAATTTCAATTTATACTACATGTTATTTAATCATGTGTAGGATACATGGTACTATTTGTTTGTATCGTATTTCCATTTATAAACATGTTTTTTACTGATATAAATTTTCCAAATAAATGTTTTCTTGTTTCTCCATTGGCCCAAAGCAATAGCCAAGATGGTAAAACAATCGTGCTTATATCAGATACAAGAAAATTTTGATTGAAAACAGCCTAAAATTTTTCTTTTGGGTAATTCTCTCAATATGATTTTACCAAGAAAAAATTTTGGCATTCATCATAGGAAAGTAATGAAGTGCCACTTATTGAAATCCTAACAGCGATGTAGATTAAGGTCTAAAATTAGATTATAAAGATTAAAATGTGTATGAATATTGAATTGGTGGGTGTCCTCGATCTGTCCTCGATAAATCTGATAGATGAAATTAATACATAGGCATAGAATTAAGGCATTTTTAGTTGGTCAAGAGTTTAGTTTTCTATTTTAAAGTTCGGACAAGTTAGGTAGGTGTAAGTTATTAATGTATTAGAATCAGTGTTGGTCTGCACCCGGGTCGACTTTCGCCAAGTCCTTATTTATCCCTGCCTATTGCTACCTTCGTTATTCTTGTAATTACTCTTGGGATAAGCGTAATATTTTATTCTTTGTTATTCTGTTAGCTATTAGATTAGGTGCTATCCATGACTAGTATAGAAAATTCGATTCACCGTCGTAATAGAAATAAGTAGCTGACCAACAAACGTCCAAAAAGCGTAAAGTGTTAATCTTTTTTCTATAGTTCGTTGTAATCCGTTCGAAGTTGTTTTATTTGTTTGAGGTTGTACTTTAGTTTTGTACACAAACAAGGTAGCTATATTGATAATTAAACAGATAAACATGAAAATAACACAGGAATAGGCTGCATCTTCTGTAGGGTTGATCTCTCCTGGCTTTATAGTAACCTCATATATGGTTACAGTTTGATTGTCAGCCTGTAATCGAGCAATAAAGGGTTCAGATAAAATTTGTACGGTTCGGCTTAATGGAAGTACAAAAATAAGTAGCATGCTGAGTGGTAGAAAGCGTCTCCAGGTCTAAAATGCAAGAAAATCTTAATTTTTAAAATTAGTCTATCCTTGACCCTTTCATAAGAAAATGGCCATAAAATAGAAGAAAGTCTGTTGAGTAATTGTAAAGTGGTGGCAATATTTTCGCCGTGTATGCAATAATAACCAAAGAAGAATATTATCGCTAACACCCATGAAGGTAGTTGAAGGAATAGATTTGTGAATAACCCAACCTTTCCAAAACGTGGTCCAAAAGAGATAATGAAGTTGAGAATATTCTAAAATTTAATTGGATTTATTTTCCCTTACGGGGGTATTTAATCGAATCTAGTTAATTTACCAAAATTGACTTTGCAATGAGTAATTGAAAAAAGCTTGAATTAAATTCCTTCCATTTTGTAATAATTATTATAACTTCGAATAAATACAAAATAGCAGAAGGAACTCCAATAACTACAGAAATAACAAACGGCAAATATACTGTATTTGCCAAAAATACAATTGGTGCTGACAGGAAGAAGCCCATCGAGTTAATAAATTCGTAAAATTATCAAAGCAATCTGAACTTAAATTGTTTTAAATGAGTAATGTCTAAGTTTTGGATCTATCGTAAGTAACACCAAACTAATTTCAAGAACAGTTTATCATATGAATAGATCAGTGGTTGGAATTTTGAAATTTGCTTGTACTCGTACTTTCGTACAGGCCCTAGTTTTTCCTCGTACTCGTACCTGGCCATTTTTTACTAATACTCGTCTTAATTTAAGGTACGAATTGTTAATTATTTCCCCCCCCCCCCCCCTTACCCAGTCAGCAATTCACTTGAAGTACGAAATGGTCAGTCATTTTTTCCTTAGATAATTTTAAAAAATTTGCCTATGTTCACATTCATTAGCCTACGAAAGTTGGTACGAGCTTTAACCACTGGATTAGTTACATTAATGGACAAGTGGAATAATTAGAAAGGCACGGCTGTGCCATGCAAGATTTTATAAAACAAATATTTAAATTGAAAGTGCCAAAGCCAATTAGTAAACAAATTTATTATTAAAATAAAAAATTTTAAACTTGGACAGATGGAATAAAAAATAAATGGAAATTGGTGTAAATTTAATTAAAATAATAAAATTATTCTATTAAAAACCTCAATAAACGGTAAATATTTACTGGCATTAAGTAAATAATTTATTTAATTATATGTCAAAGTCCTTATTAAATATTGAAATTTAATTATAAAGCATTTGATAAACAAGTTTTTTGAGCTGCTGAAATACTCAATAGGGTTGAGCGCAAGAAAATATTTTAAAAAACGCAAAATTAAAAGGGTTGTCGGTTCCTGGAAATTCTTAAGATATGCGAAACGGAACTGAATACCGAAAAATCATTGGTTCTTCGGTTCGGTTCGGTCCAGAACCGACAGCCCTATTTAATATAATTTGAAGTTAAAAATGTCCTGAATGTGACATCTTTCCAATAAGTGTTTATCTTTCCAACAAACTTGTACTTTTGGACCGTTTCCAACAATTATATGATTATTCAACTCTTCAAGCTTAATCTCTTTATGACCAGATTCAAGTTGACTATTTTCGTCTGGTTTTGCCAGCCAGAATTCTGTTATACCTTATGTCTTCAATAAATCGTAACTGAAATATGTCACTTGTTTGAACAACATTTTCCATTTTTGATTATAGACATTTATTCTCCTTCTGGAGAGGGTAATTATTGGATACGGTAACTGAATTGA